CAGGAGTTGAAGAGAAAGTTGATTACATCTCTGTTTTTGGTGTTGCCCAACCCTAGTGATCCATTTGATGTGTTACGTGATGTTTTTTTATCATGAATTATGGTGTGTATTGATGCAACAAAGGGAGGTGGTAGCATATGTTTCAAGGAAGTTGAAAGTTCATGGGAAGAATTTTGCCACTAATGACTTGGAGTTAGTAGTTGTAGTATTCCCCTTGAAGATTTGGAGATGTCACTTGTATGGAGCCAAGTTTAATGTTTTCATTGATCACAAGACTCTAAAATATTTATTTGACCAAAGAGAGTTGAACGTGAGACAAAGGAGGTGGGTGGAATTTCTCAAAGATTATAATTTCTAGTTGATGTATCATCTTGGAAAGGCAAATGTGGTGATTGATGCTCTGAATAGGAAATCCATCCACATTTCTTCAAAAATGATTAAATAGTTGGAGTTGGTGGAGAAATCTAGAGATTTGAAGTTGTGTAGAGTTAGCTCAAGATCATATTAGTTGTTGAATGACTACCATCACTAATGAGTTTTTGGAGTAGGTGAAGGAGAAACAATTGCAGGACCAAAAATTATTGAAGATCAAAGGGTTGTTGGGAATTGAGAAGGTTATGGGGTTCGAGTTAAGTGGAGAAGAGATTTTGAGGTTTAAGGGTAGAATTTGTCTATCTCAAAGTTTAGAGTTGAGAATGATTATTTTGGAGGAAGGCCATAAGAGTAAGCTTAGTCTACACCTTGACATGACTAAGATGTACTAGGACCTTACGAAGAATTTTTTGTGGTCTGGTATGAAAAGAAAGGCGGCGAAGTATGTGACAACTTGTCTAACCTATTATAAGGCTACAATTGAGCATTAGAAGCCTAGAGGTTTATTGTAGTTGATGTCGATCTTGAAGTGGAAGTGCGATAACATCACTATAGACTTCATAGTTAGATTGCCTAGGTTTGCTAGCAACAATGATGTTATCTAGGTAATAGTTGATAGGTTAACTAAGTGTGCTCACTTTTTCCCTATCAACATTAAATAGTCCTTAGTGAAGCTTATCAAGTTGTATATTCTAGAGATAGTAAGATTGTACGGAGTGTCTTCCATTATTATCTCATATAGAGATCCAAGGTTCACTTCCAAGTTTTAGTAGAGTTTGCATGAAGCCCTGAGGACAAGGTTGAGGTTGAGTTCTATTTATCACATATAGACTTATGGTCAGTCAAACAAGACTATTTAATCATTGGAAGACTTGTTGCGGGCTTGTGTTTTAGATCATCTTGACAGTTGGGAGGATATATTGCCTTTAGTGGAGTTCACTTATAACAATAGTTTTCATACTAGTATTGGCATGACACCTTTTGAGGCCTTGTGTAAGAAAAGATGTAGACTCATTTGTGTTGGCATAAGAAGAGTGAATTAGTTGTGGTGAGACCAAAGCTAATTCTACAAACTACAAAAAAAGGTGAAGATGATTCAAGAGAGGATGAAGATTGTCTAAAGTAAGTAGAAGTCTTATGTTCATAATAAAAGGAAACATTTGGAGTTTGAGGCAAGGGAGCATGTATTTCTCAACGCGACATTTATTACTTGTCAAGATTGTTTGGGATGTGGCCCCTAGTGAGGCAACATGGGAGTTGGAAGACAAGATCTGATCTCAACATCCATTTCTCTTCCCAAGTAAGTCAATTTTCGGGGAAGAAAATTTTTGTTGTTAGGGAGAATTGTAACACTGTAATTTTGGGTTTTATTTGTATGATATTTATAATTAATTTTTGAATTATTGTGATTATTGTTGTTTTAGAACTCTAAGGGTCAAACGATCCTCAAGGGTTAAGTTGGTTGAGATAGTTTTAATTAGAGTTAAGTTGGTATAGCTTAAGGAAGGGCATATGGGGTTTTTCCTAAGACACGAAACTCATAATTAAGTTTATACCTTAAGAAAAATAGAGTGAAGATAGAGGGAGTGACTCTAAAGCATGAGTAATTATTTTCTTCTACTGCTTCCACTAAACTCTTCTAAATCCTTCCCTCAGCTAGGCAATAATAATAGATCATCGAATTCGAAGATTAGAGGCCAAGAATTCGAGTTGTGAGTCATGTAGAGTTTAACCTTTTCTTTTTCCATCTTCTCCTCCTCTTCTTATTTTTGGGCTATTTGAGGTAAAGAAAGTTTGTGATTGACGAGTATTAACTTTTAATGTTTAATAGTTTTTTATGCATGGTCATCAAATATTGGTTGTTCGATTGAATGAAGAAGAGATGTTTTGTTGTTGAGTCTCGGTTCCTTGAAAATGCTTTGAAGAGAATTTGATGAATTTTGAAGTGTAGTGGTTGCATGTGGTATTTGTATGTTGAATATGAATCATATAAGTTGTATTTTTGTTGAGAATATGATTGCATGTTGATTTGGTTGAGTGATTTGTAGGTTTGAGCCAATTTGAGGATTCTGCCAAGTGCAAAAATCTTCATCACATCAAGCCTGCCTTTATGGTGTTGGGTGTGGCTCGAGCTAGGGGATTTCTACCTTGATCATGTTAAGCATGTAATTAGTAGCACTGGGCATGGATCAAAAAGAAGCTCTTTGACTTAGTTATGTCGAGCATGGAATGATATGCCTTAGGCATGATTACTCGAAGGACTCTCTAACTTGGCCACACCATGCATGATTGACACAAAGGCTCTCTTCCTCATTTATGTTGGGCATGCATGGGTAGTTTGGCACTGGGCATGGGCAAGCTAGAGACTCTCTATCTCAATTATTCCAAGAACAAAAAATATGGTGTCAAGTGTGGTTTGATGAAATAAAATTTGATGTTCTAAGTTGTTTAAAGTTGAAGTATGATGACTCATTTATATAAATGACATTGTATGATTAGATTTTATTATGCATTGATTTATAATGATGTATAGTGATTTTTTAAATTGTCGTGTTGTGAGTTGTTAGTTGATTTGAAAGTTGCTAAGTTGTATAGGCATGTGGTTTTAAGATACATGTCTTAGTTAAGATACATAAAAACTAGAGAAGAGTAAAGTTGTTTTAAAAAAATTAAAATATCTCATAGTGAAGACATAAGTTATGGTGTTCCAAGAGTCCAAAGTTAAAAATCCTTTAATGAGTAAATTAGCTCTTGAATGGGCAGTTTTTTTAAGTTGTTCACTCTAGGTTTTCTATGGAAATAATATGGGGGCTAGGTCGAGTCATCGATTATAAAAAGACCAGATGTTGATTCATATAGGAGTAAAGTCGAGTCAGACGTATATAAAGTGACAAACTAAGTAAAATATGAGGTTGAGGTGTAAAATCCTCATTTGATTATTGGAAATATATGCAAAATTTGGAGGGTATTTAGTGAGCTAATTTCATATGACGCTTAGATATGCATGTTAAGGTCAAGGTAGATTCACACCCAAGTTGTTCTACTTTAACAATAGTACTGGACTTTCCTAGTTTAAGTCAGAAAATATTAAAAATCAATTTAAGTTTTTTATCGGGTACTCTAAGAGGCCTAACGTTATATCTACTCGATTTGGTTGCGATAGGTTAGTCGTAGTGATTCAATAGGGTCAAGCCACCTAGATTGCTCACCTTTGTCGTAGGAGATCTCCATAAGTTGATATATGTGATGACACATTAGTTGTTTTAAAGTTGCTAATGTTGAGAATGTTGTTTTGTGTTATAAGTTGTTGTGTTATTCTTATGCTACTATTGATAAGTTGAAAAGTTGTTAAGTTGTGTTGAGCTAGAAATTGTAGATAATGATAATAAATTGATGTTGTGCTATGAACTAGCTTTAAAGTTGTTAAATTGGTTGCGTTGTATAAGTTGTATATTTATGTTGTTATGTTGATTCCTTTACAAGCTTACTCTTTATTTTCCTTATGGTCAACTACAATGGTTATACTTGATATGTGAATAGGACAAAATTAGCTTGGTAGCTTTGATGTTGGTGAATAGTCATTCTAGAAGTGATCTATTTTGTGTTTACTACTCTTGATGCAATATTTGTTGCATAGAGACACTAAGCAACAATAAGGTTGCTTTATTTTTAAGCACCTTGTACATTTAGATGTATATTGTATATATGTATAGGGTATGTATGTAACTTCTTAAAAAGCTTTATGTTTTCATTCATATTGGCAGAAATTGTTTTTAAGTTTTCTACAACTCATGCATATATATGTTGCATGAATATCCAAATAATTGTTGCATGAAAACTTTAGTATAATTAAATAGAATATGTTTTCTATGGTGTAACTATTATATTATATTAAGTATAATAACCTATTAGATTGTTATATTAACAACCGAATAATACTAGTTGCAATGTCCTTAAGACACTACGTCAGATGTCTATAAATCTTTGTCATTGGCCCTCCAATATTTGGGATATACCATAACATGGTCACCTAACTCTGAAACAAGTTCACAACAAACTTTAAACCATGTGATCACTCTCTCTAATTATGTATAGATATATTTGAATTTAAATGCTTCTTATAAATTTTAATATCGAATGTCTATAGAACATCCTTTTAATGCTTCACAAAGTATAAAAGTATTATATATATATGTATATATATATATATATAAACACAAACAATTAAAAAACTAAAAAAGCATAAAATTAAAAATATCATATATTATAAGATGCCCTTATTTCCCCAATGTCATAGAAGCATGTTGTTCTCCTTAGAGCAGATTTGTTAGCACTCGATCGATTAAGCACACATGAATTTAATTTTATCTAAACAATTTTGATCTTTTTCTTCTCTATAACTAATTAGCTAACAAAGCTAAGCAACCTTTTCTTCTGGTTCTAGTCTTCTAAGTCACTTGTAATAAATTAATATTGAATTTTTGGTTGGTCAAATGTGGTTGCATGATTATGTTGCCTCACAAAGAATACCATTGGGCCAAAAAAAAAAAAAAAGAAGAAGGATGCTTGGGTAGATAAAATTACTAGAAATTAAAGAAATGTGACGAAAGGAAGAGAAAAACACATACTTATATATAAATGTAGAGTTTTTTTAATTGATCTTAGCATGCAAAGTCATACATGAAAGGAGAATCTAACGTTTTCCTCTTATTTATCAGACATACTATATTTGTGAAAACCAAATATGATTCCTTTGCATAGATATAACACTAACATCTTATGCATCGAAAATTAAACACCAGCAAACACATCTAATGCATTTTCCTTGAGAGTTGAAACAAAGTACTTAAAGTATTCCCCATAATTGAAAGGCTTGTAGCGTAGAGGGTACATATTATCCTCCACCAACTCAGGGGGCACCTCGATCTTCACCTCTTCTTTTGGCACTGAAAATAGTGCAAAGGAATATCTTTCTTTTTCTCCTTTCATCATCACTCTGTGTGTAGCCGCATCAAGTCTCCCATTGCTCCATGCCTATGTAAATTAGTTGTCCTTTATTAATAAGAATCACTTTTTAAAAAACTTTCTTAAATCAATCTTAATTGACCCCAAAATAAATTAGTGAACAATTTCACCAAATTAGTGATAAAAATTTTAGCTATCCGAAAATTTTCTTGTAATGAAATTTGTTTAAGCTTGCAAAATTAATTTTAAATTGTGTAAGAAAATAATCTCATTAAACCCTATTTAACTAGTGGTTAAGCATTGTTCACCCATATATTGTTGGGACGATTTATTTTGTGAGATAATTCCATATTTGATTTTTACAGTGTAAAAACCTTTTAAGCCAACAACAGACATATATATATATATATATATATAT